TATTGTTAGACGTGATGATAGCGTGTAAGGTATAGAAGTTTTTAGAGGGGTTTAAAAAAAAAAACAAGCGCGTCAGTATTAGTCAAGTGCCATAGTAGCCAACATCGCGAGATGCAGCTAGAGAAAAAACTAAAACTGAACGCTCATCGTTAATAATACCCGATTGTAGTGATTTAGACGTAAGTGATTAGCGTTAGATCGTATTTAATATCAATCGAAGTTTATCGACAATGTCGCAACGTAGTAAATGATAGCAAATCAAGAGACAGAGAGTGAGAGAGAGAGAGAGAGAAAGAGAACATGTTAAGATGAAGATCAGAATAAGCCAGCCGTATAAAATCGTTGATATAAGTATGATGCATAAAGTGTGTACAAATATAACATATGTGTAACACGTTGTAAATATAATTGACAGTCTGATATAAGATAGTAGAGGATATATATTTATCGATCCTCTGTCGAATCCCCCCAGGTTTTCGACGCGGGTCATTACGAAGCCTTGCTACGTCAAGGTCTGGATTTTTTCGAGGTGGCTCGTTTCAATGCTGTTCCGGAACGCTGGTGGCGTGGCGGCGGCGGCTGCGGCGGTACCGCATGCGGCTCATTCGGTATACCCTCGAGATACGCGTCGCCGGGGAACGACGGAAACAATACTACTCCAGAAGCGTATCAGGAGAACTTATCGCAAACGGCGGACAGCGTGTTGCAATGCTACCGATGTCAGGGTTTCTGGCACGTGGCCGCTAATTGTCGGCACTTACCGCGCTGCGTCCGCTGCGGCGAGCCGCACAGCGTCGAGTTTTGCCCAAGGCCGCGGAACAACCCTATATGCTGCCACTGCTCCGGACCTCATCACGCCGGTAAATCCTCTTTGTCGAGGATCCTAGCGTCTTTTCTATTACACGTCTTTCATTAATACAGCAAATAATAAGGGGCCAAAGAGTCAAATTCGACCGAAGTTAATGTCGATTGCCCAGTAGTATAAATTTTTTAATTTCAGCTACCGCCAATTACCGTACTGGTCTTTAAATACGCAATCAAAACTTAAAGCTGAAATAATATCAA